AGAAGAAACGAAAAAAAAAAGAAAAAGAAATCGTCGTTTTCAACCCACAATGGACAACATTATGCTCTAGCGAGGTGTTGGTGTTTGGAAGGCCTCTTTTTGTCTGTTCTCATCACAGCCTAAATACCTAATTTGCTTATCTTGCATGCATGGACATGCTGATGCGTCTGATCTGGAGTGGGGTAATCAATAGGGAGGGGGGGGAGGAGTTATGATATCTGCTCCTCCGTTCTTCGAGGTTCTCGATTCTTGATTCTTGATTCTTTTTCTTTCCTGTGGAGAGACTATTCTTATCTTATGTAGTATAGGGCCTCAGGAGGATATCAGGGTATAGTGAAGTAATTCAATCCTTTTGATTGGAAGTCATTGAGATCTGACTAGAGTAGATATTATTACTTTTATGGTCAGTTATTAAGCTAGACCAAGTTAATTGAATTGATTATAATGAATCATACTCCATATACAGCCATAGTGGATTGGCTAGGGGGGGGGGCTTTACAGGGGAGGCTTGTAGCTACTCTTGATAACTTGAATCTGAGAGGTATATAGTCTCATGGTGGAGCGAAGTGACTATATCTATAGTAGAGAATGCAACAAATTTACAGTCAGTCGTAAAGCATAAGTTTAATTTATCTTTATACTTATATATTAATCAATATTCTAGTTTGGTATCGTGTAAAAAGTAAGTCATAACATGTATCATAAGTCCTCATATGATTCCGGAAATCCCCCTTTGTAGCATTGCTAAGAACGGTATGATTCTTAGACATCAATTGTCCCCTAATTCCAATGCTTCCCAGACGCCGCTGAGAGACTCAACGGCCTTTTCGAGCATCGGTTCCGCCGAAGTTTCTAGATTCGCGGCAATATCAGGATCTAGACTCACTTCCTGGGGCTGGTGGGCACCGCGACGGGTGAAGTAGTATTTTTCACGAAAGCGAGACCAGCTCTCGTTGATGTAGGCCTGCAGTTCGCGCGTGGCTACGCTGCGAGTCTGTTGGAAGAAAGGTGGGACGGCTGACGATGAAGATGGCGACAAGGGCTTCTCCAGAGAGCCCCCGCCGAACACTAGTGATGGATCACGTAGTCGAGATACAGACCAACGAGCAAACTGATAGCAGGCTTGGATCTTCAGGATGATGTTTTCGCCGGCTTCAGTGGCGCGATCAATGTAATCGACCACGGGTAGCGCGGATGTCATCGTCTCGACGAAAGCGACCAGAGTCAACAAAACTGTCGGCTCCTTGAGCATATCTGGATTGTCTATGATCTGACGGAGGGCTTGGGATGTGGAGTGGAAGACCGTGTCAAAAATACTCATGACGGAGGAAACGCAGTTGTGATCAGTCGAGTCGACATCGAGGAGAAGGTCCTTGAACACGAGCGACATGGTCTCCAGAATAGGTCGACCCAGGATCCACGCAGCCGGATTGGTGAAGATCGCCTCAAGATAAGGAGGAAACAGACATTGTAGCAAAAATGCTCGTAGAGTGGGCTTTTTCAGGTTCCCACCTTCATATGTGCCAGACATTGAGGCACACAGCTGGTTGACAAGATACCTCTGTTGCCCGTCAATTGCTGCCCGCTCTGATACGCCTTGAATGAATATGACGAGCGTCTTCACAACCTTTTCCGTGAGTAACTTCGGCTCATAGCTCTTCAACTTTGCAACGATATATGTTGGATCCGTCAAAGGGAGGGGAAAAGAGGTTGGGTCGGTGAAAAAAGGATCAATAGGTCCAATGTCTCGAGTATGTTGCTGAAGAAACCCGATGATACTGTGGACAAAGTCCACATAAGCTCCTTGCGCAATATCAGTGCCATTCCCGAGCTCTTGGTAATTTGCTTTCATAGACGACATCATCCTTCCAAGGAGCTCCTTATACTCCATCCTGGTGGACGAATGATTTCGAGACCCGGACTCTTCTAGGTCCCGGAGATGCTCCCGCATGTTTGAAAGTATGCTTGATATCAGAGACAGCCTTCGTTGGCTGAACTCTTCTAGGGTGATTGAATACACATTGGTGCTTCGATCCTTAGAAAAAGGCAGATTCCTAAGCAGGGGATCTCCAGGGTCTCGATTCAACAGCGCTTCTGTAAGCCGGTGTTGGAATTTGAGCATCAAGGATCTTTCTACCAGAGATGACATCCACATGCCAAATATCTGCATTTTACATTCCGAGAGAAATTGCGTATCTTTTTCGATGCAACTGGCCAGGAACTGCGACGTGAACTTCCGCGTCTGGACAGTAGATCGGAGCGTGGTCCACGAATCCCCATCGTAGGGGCTGAGATAACTGTCCCAATGTCTTAAGCTGTGTTTGGCAAGTGCGTGGGCGACAGAGGTCCAACAATCAACGACGATAAGGAGAAAATCATCTTCAGGTCTGAGGTCCTCACCGAAGCAGTTGGACACAAGACGAGAAACGGCTGGGTGGAAAACCTTTTCGACGGACTCGAGCCCTGGGCTTGACTGAGGCTCTTCATTTCCATACATCGCATCAATATCGGCCCAATCACCATACTCCTGGCTATCGTCGTCTGTTGAGATGGGGGCGGCAGATGTAGTGGCAGGATTCGAAGATAGAGGTGAATCTTTCTGGACATACGTCGAGATAACCTCCAACGTCTCGGAGACCACTTTGTTCACGCGCGCCGTTTGAGGGTTGAAGAGTGATAGCAAGAGCTTGACAGGCATTTTAGACACGAGGACCTCTGCATAGTCCATATTTGAAGCTTGTTTGACTGCGTTTTGTAATCCGCCCAGGGACGTGCTCAATACTGATTCGATCTGTCGCTGGTTTTGGGAAATGACGTTGTCAATCTGCTGACGGGAGAAACGGGCATCTGTGTTGCTTTGAGCCTCGACTTCCGTGCGGGCGAGAGAATGCTGTCTTATCAACTCGGTCACAAAGCATCCGTACCAATCGGCAAACGGTTCTAGACCAGATACGTCTTCAGCTGTTGATAGCTTGAAGCGAACAAGCCTCACCCACGAACGAATACTGATGTTAAGTGTCTCGAGATGGGAAGTGGCAGGATCCACCAAGCTGCGGATCGTCTGGAGTCGAGGACGACACTCGTCAGGAACAGCCCAGTATAATGTGCAGAGCAGATCATGATGGTTCCTCAACGCATCTAGGTCTTCGCGTTTCAGCTCCTTCTCCTTGGGATAGACACGGCCATGATTAGGCAACAATCGCCAAGCATAATTGCGGATCCTCTTCTTGTCGTATATGTTAGACAAGAATCGTAGCCCACTGCCGATGATTTTCAGCAAGATGCTAAAGCATGTTTCGCCGGAAGTCACCTCCAGCGGAGGATTGCGATCAAGATCATCAAGGAATGGTGGCGACCCAAAGCTTTCCTCGAGTCGCAAGTTATACAGGGCGTTGGTTGCGAAGAAATCGAAGAGTGTATCAAGTATGAGTTTGCAGTCTCTCCAACCCCAGCTATTGATGAGTTGAAAACACCGCTGGAATACCACACGACAGTAAGTGTTATAGGAAATTGGCTGGGCGGTGGAACCAGTTGTGTATTCGCTCAAGACCGGTTGTAACAGTTGTTTCACGACCATCCAATTGCCCCAGGCATGATTGAAGCGAGATCCAATGCGAGCAATGCCTAGTTGGTTGATCTCCACAAGTGGCAGAATTGTGTACAGGCTATGCCACCCATCCTCTAGGAACTTGACATCTTTGCGCTTTGCCGGATCCTGGATCGCGCGCCCTAAACAGCTCTCTGCGATGAGGTTATCAAGGCATACTTTCAGATCATCCACGTTGCTCAAGATGTGCCAAGCAACTATGAAGCCCTCGACAGCAGGGGCGTTATCGCGAATTCCAGAGTCTCGATTCTCCTGTATCCTGTTCAGATCGAGGAATTTGCGAATCTCAAGCAGTGAGCTTTGGCTAAATATGATCGAGAAAAGCTGTTTTGCAGCCGATTTGACAAGCGTCAGTACTTGGGCCTTCATGCCACTGTCAACAAGGTCATGAAAAGCGACCTGGTAGACTTGGTTTGCGAATGTGAGGTTAAAACAGGCAAGTCTCATACAAGTGTCTTTTTTGTTCTCGTTAGACGAACAAAAATCTGACAAGGCATTGCAAACTTTAGAAATCTGGAACATCGCCGTTTCGATAAATGATGACCTGTCCACAGGGTCGATAAAAACGAGCATGTGAGAGACATACTGAACAATCGACCTGTATATGGTCCATGGCTCAATAATTGAGATTTCCGAAGAGGCCTCCAATGGACCCGAGCTTGTCTTCTCAATGCTTTCGATTACTGTATCAAAGGCAATACCGAACTCGGTTGATACCGAGTCGTTCCATGCCCCCCAACGGAAAGATTTACTACCAACTCGAATGGTGAGCAGAGCAGTATCCTCTTTGTCCATGTTTCGCGCAGTAACCTCCAAAGATCGAGAAAACTCGCCACTTCCTAAAAAGGTGGACTCATGGAAGAAAGTACCTGTCTGTAGAGGGGCGATGTTGAAGTTGATCGTGTACGACCGTTGGAATGATACCAACCCTTCTTGCGAGCGTTGAACATCGTCCGAGAGCAATGAAATTGATCCTGAGTCGTCGAAAGTTACTGGCGGCGGCTGTTCAAAATCAACAGCATGAGCATCAATGCGTGTCGGAGGTCGCTTCCGTAGCCGCTGGCCTTTGGGTTGACGCTGGAGTTTCGAGAATGCATTATCTTGTTTGGTCGATTCCGAAGACGAGGAATTTTGCGCATTTCCAAGAGAGGAGTGAGAGGGCAGAGATGATTCAGAAAGGAACCGATTCAGAGGTAGGCTTGAACGATGTGGCCCGGAGGCTCGCGCATGTCGATACCTCTGATTAAGCAGGGAAAGAGATCTTTGGAATAAAGATGGCATTGAACGATGGCCGCCCACGAGATCCTCAAAGTCAGGCCCTGCAGGCCTCGGAGCATTCCTCGACATACTGGACACACCAAAGTTTCTTCGAACAATCCACTTGTTCCCGAGTCTTTGATGCTGATTTGGTGCTGTGGTAGCACCCCCTGACCTGACGAGAGGTTGTATTGGCTTGACAGCTGAACGTGAAGCACCCTCAGCAAAGCCTTTCTCTCCTGGAGATAGATGATCGTCTGATAAGTCAATAATTTGTCTTTGTCGTTCATCATTACCAAAAGCACTGTTAATGTTTTGTTCGCTGGCAGAGGAGTATTGCAATGGCTGGCGTCTATGTGAGATAGTTTTGGGCTGAGATTTAGGAAAAATCGTCTGTCGAATCCCTCCTTGTCGCCATTCGTGAAGAGATCTATTTGCGTCCTCCGTGTCGGCCTGGGAGCCAAGTTTCAAGAATTTTCGTGTGGGACTTCGTCTTCCCTTGTCTTTACGAGCTCGGGCTTGTCTTGCAGCAACCCGAAGAAATTGAGGTTGCTCATTGCGCGGTTTTTGTGAAACATCTGGGGCATCCAGGATCCCGATCTTGGGCACCCTTCTTGAAGGTCGTTTCACCTTTTGACCACCATATTGGGAGTCTGTCAGTCTCGTTTGGCGTTTGAGACGGGCCCGTTTGTATTGCCTCTCGGTACTTGTTTTCTCTTTTGCGGACCTTGGTCGCTTTGTCCCATGCTTTTCTCTGCGGGATGATGTCGCGCTTCGTGGTATAGATGGAAACATGTAGTCGATGCGATTGTCTTCTGGAATATCATCATCACCATCATTATCATAATCAAACGAATCGTCAAATCCAACTATATCAGCCAACGTGGTGAGTGGAGCATTGTTTTGTTTGGGGTCAGAAATAGAGCGGTTGGTCCCATGAGTAGCCTCATCATCTTCTTCTTCATCAGAAAACTGCAGCAATGGTACTCGCTGGCGCCTAGTATCATCAGATACGACGGAGGTAGTTGTCTTGATCACCTTCCTCGCAACACCCTTGGCATTTTCTGTTCTATGTGAGGATGTTGAGTCGCGGTTTCTTTGAGTCGAGGAAAGACGTTTCTCTTCTTGTTGCTTCAAGTCGAGTCTAAGCCAGGATGCCGGAAGAACTCCTTTGATCCTTCGTTGCAATCGCCGAACCGCTATTTCTTCCTGGCCATGGTCCCCATTACTCTCCGTCTCTGAATGGGGTTCATCAAGTGGCGGGTTTGAGTCGCTATCGGTCAATTCATGGACAGCATTTGGTTCGGTAGAATCATCTATTTTAGATACGAGACCATTTCTGACTCTTAAACTCGCTTCAGTTGCAGGCGTAGTCAGCGTTGGGTGCGTAAATCCCTTGGGAAATCGGAATCCTGAATGGGTCGTGCTCTGCGTGGACGAGATGCTTCCTGAACAAGGCGGACTGGGGGGGACATTGAGTATTGACTTATTTTGTGGACCACCAGGAGTTCTATTATGATCAATGAGCACCAGAAAATTTGATGTCGAAGGTTCAGGACCGTCATCCCCACCCCCGCTCTTGTGATGCGTCAGTTTGCGCCTTTTATCCGAATGAGTTAGATTCGCCGTTGGCGAAAGACCCCGTGGACGACGATGATGTAGAATTTCTATTGTGTTGTCTCCAGGAATGATCGGTGACGATGGGGGGTGGAAATCTGTAGCAGGACTGCTCGCAGGCGGCAGAATGGAATCGAAACTAGCCTGTTCCTGGCTTTCGCCGGAGGCTTTGGCCATTTCCTCATAATACCTCATCAATCGGACAGGTTTCACCCCTCTGGCTTTCATGAGCTTCTGGTATTGGGCATCCTCTAGAAGATACGGATGTAGTTGGATGGGGTTGCGTTGTCTCAAGGATCTCCGCGCTGGCTGATCTAGCTCAGCCAGGATTTCCTGTGGAAAATCAAGAGAAGGAAGCAGGCTTTCCAAATTGTCGTTGACTTCGGCTGGTGCACCGTTTTCCTCATGTTCGTTCGGCTCTTGATTACTGACAAGAGGTATGGAATGGAGAGACGACGGAGGTGAGGACAAGGAAGAAGAGGCATCGTCATCGACCCTTGGCTGAATTCCAACATCATCACGTCTTTGACCTTCCTGCCAAACATGCGGTGTAGACTTCTGAGCCGTCGTAATGTCCGCTTGAAGCTCGTCCGGAGAACTAGGGATATCCCAGAAGTTGACCGCTTGCTTGGCAGATGGTGTTGATGGTCTGGCGAGATCTGGAAGTGCAGATAGCTGCGATGACAAAGATTCTGTGTCTTGCTCTGTGTTTCTCGAGAACGAAACGATCTGGGATTCTTCTATATCGGGCTCCTCTTCTCCCTGTCCTTCTTCATGGTCCTGTTCTGGGTCGCTCATCAACTCGTCGGTGGATTCGCCCTCGTCTCCTGCAACCTTCTCTGAGAAGCCATCCAGATGTTCATGGCCGTTTGTAAGCGGATCGATATCCTTCTCCTTGACAGTCTCGCCCACCAGCTGCTGTGAGCCCTTTGCGGAATTATTCTTGACTCGTAGAACATCCCTCCCATTGTCGATGTCGCCCTGTTCAACCTCTTCCTCGCCGGGATGTGCCCCATCAAACACACTATCTCCGTTCACCGTCTTTGCCAAGGAGCCTTGCGTATCGAATTCGTCCTCCTCGTCCGAGTCCGGTACAAAGCCTCGTTGTCGCCATGATTCCATTTGTTTGCTTGGCGTCGATCGCCCATATCTCTGCAACTAATTATTGATCATCACCGTGGTATGAAAGAGTAGCCCAAAGACCTGAATATTCTTAGGTGAGATGATATCGGGTTATATCAAAGAAAGAGATCGCAAACTGGTGTCTTTGGCAGCGACGTTTGAAGACGCGTCGGAAAATAATGTGGGGAGACGCGACGGGAGTTTAATTGAAGTTTGGTTTGGCTTTGGTCCGCCTTCGGGTTTAGAGAGACGTCAACGACACCCATCACATTAATAATAACAATACAGCCTCACAGCAGTGGTCTCTAGGTCTATCATGAGCCGCAATTTCTTACCTGCCGTTCTGGCGATTGGCGTAGGCGTTTTCACCGGTATGTATTTTTCTTTTCCACCTGTGTGCTTGAACTACTGCTAATCTGGTCGGTTTCTTTAGGATATTATACCTTCCAACCGGCATTGAGGGAACTGCAGACCGAGAAAGCCAGCACACAGCTGTATGTTTTGAACACTGGTAAAGCGTGGTGATACTTGATCCTAACTGGTTTTGGGGGGGTAGTCCGCCGCCTGTTCCCAATACTTCGTCGACACAGATCTCGGAGAAAGATGCATGGACAAGTTCGACCAAGACCGGGCATGATCCTCAGAACTAAATCAGACAGGAGTGTTTCGACCATCGAAAGTGACGGCTGAGAAATATCATCGATAGAATGAAGATGCATAATAGAGTGGCATCTCTATTGTCTACGTGCCTTCTGCCCACCTTTTACAACTTCCTGGAAGCCGGAAGGTTGAGAGCCAAATATATTGGTTGTATCGAACCAATGCCCATCCCAACAAGGAAGACAATCCGCTCCAAAATTCGTGTGTTCGCTCTTAATGGCAGCAATTGGCTGCTGCAAGGTCATCGTTGAGAGGGGAGACAACCACTGGAAACGCCAAGCCCAAAGCAATTTGAACTGAAGTATACAATCTGTGAGCAACATGGAGTATGGATGTGATATATATCTATCTTGAATGACGTGTCATTTCCTTCATCAGGGTCAAAACACTCGGTCGTAGAGAGCACCCAAGTTGAATTACACTGGACAGGCTCTGGACGAGAGTAGATCTCCTTGCCTCTAGTTATATTCTACAACCCAGAGATGAGGCAGTTACTGGTCCATATGGGCATTACTGCCATTGCTGAAAGTCCAAAGTAATGTCGATTTCATTTTGACATAGGGTATAATATTCGAAATCATTGCAACTTGCGTTTCAGAAACAATCCCATTCCCATTTACCCTCAAAAGAAAGTGGCCATTTTGAACAGATCCCATACTCGTACATGTCATACGCCAGCTCCATATTTCTCGTTTATACTTCTTCAACCAATCTCCTGTCGGTGCGTGCAGCCGGGGCTGCACCGAAGACACGCCCAGCAGGAGTGCCGAGCCACTCTTCCGGGACGCCCACCAGACAGCCGTCGCGATTGCTGATCCAGCGAACGATGGTAGGATCGGCTTTCTCCTGTTCCGGAAGTTCCTGGTCTCCAGGAGTGGCATCGCCAGCAGCCTCAGCAGCGGGGACTCTGCCGCGGCGCTTGGGGGCTTGCTTTCGAAGGAGTCTGTTGATAGTATCCATCTGTGGTACATATTAGAAAAAAGGTTGCGGTGTAAGAGCAGAGCAGACAAGTAGGACTTATGACCTACCTTTTCTTCTTCATTGCGTTTCTCGCTGAGATTCTTCCTCCGTCGAGCCATTTCCGCACGGCGCATGGCACGTTCCTCTGCTGTCAAATGTTTCTTGACTTGGGGTTCTGGTGTATGTTAGCCAGCCGCAAAAGGTGAAATATAACGAATGGGTATCGAATATCAAAAACCCACCCATGGGAAGTTGCAAGAAGTCATTTCCTAATGTCCCCCGCTGACGTTTCGTTAAGCGATTGTAATCTGGAGTGCTTTGCCGACTGCCCGTAGCCGGTGTGGCCTCATCACTGTCGATTCCTTCGTCCTCGTCGATTTCGTCCTCCTCGTCTAATTCGTCATCTTCACCGGGAGCATCTGCCAGATCGTCAGGCAAGATGCTCTGTTCTTGGTCATCTGCTCCTCCTTCCCCATCAGAATCCAGGTCCGAAAGATCTTCATCCTCCTCAACCTCCTCATCTTCATCGTCCAGCTCCATTTCTTTGGCTTCGACACTTTTCACTGCTCTTCTTGACGCCGGTACGGAGGTGACATTCGACCTGGCTTGCCGCTTCGATATGGGCGGCCGAGGAGGTACATCATCCATATCCAAGTCGCCATCGGCATCCAAATCGTCATCTTCATCCCCTGGGGCATCTTCGTCCTCAACATCATCATCGTCGTCATCGTCATCATCCTCTTCTTCCAGATCGTCTTCGTCACTGGTGTCCACCTCCACGATCTTCTTCTTAGATCGGCTGTTTCGTGGCCCACTCACGATAGGGGACTCAGTAAACACATTGACCGAGCGTTTAGTCTGAGCAGCCGCTCGAGAGCCGCCCCCAGTCACCTCACGCAGCTTGCTGGAAGGCATCTTCACTGTGAGATGGATAGATCGTTTGGCCTCCTCTGGGGAGTCTGGTGGCGATCGAGACACGGTCACCGATGGAGTGACGGCCACGTGCGATTGTCGGGTGCGCCTTGTACTAATGTTAGAGCCATTACCGGGCCAACTCGCCCGTGGGGCACGGGAGCGAAGCGAGCGATGGGAAGACATGGGGAACGGGTAGGAGGAAAAAGCAAAGATAATGGGAACACAACGAGGGAAGTTGGAGGAAGGGGAAAGAAATTCAGATTGACAGCGGAATCTCAGATCATCGTATCTCGCAAGAGAAGGAGGTGTGTCCGTGGAGAGACAGGCGTATAAGTATGAGAGGTCAGAACAGGAAATCCACCACTCCTAGGTAGGTAGTTTGCCCATCCACTCCGCGGCTTTCTCCTTCTTTCTGCGGATTTCAGGCTGAACCATTCATCCCCAGCAAGGCACATTGATTGTTCCCAGACCAGTCATCAGTCACACAGCCATGAGAAGGAGGTGGGCAAATCAAAAAAAGTGACCAGTAATAAGACATTAACAGTTGTAAGAGCAAAACTAGCGCAGGGAAGGAAGCCGACAGTATCTGGGACTACTGAAACAGGGTTCCAGGCAGTACTACCACCGCCGCCAGAGCTCACAGCCATGAGAGCGTGGCGAGGCGTTTGATGGGAGGGGGTGTTGTGTTCGAGGTGAAGGGGGGAGGGACCAGCAGGACATACCGGGCTGAGCAGGCAGCGTCAGAGCTTCGTCCAGAATCTGTCTGCCACCGCTGACCGGGCCGGGGCAGAAAATCGTCGTCGTACAGAAAGAACCGCCAGCTAACTAGCTAGTTACCTAGGGTAGATAGGGACAATCCTGGGATTCCAACACTCCTCTCCGACGGCACGATTCGCTGAGGCAGGCGGGCGTGTTCTGCCAGGGCGGTGTGTCTCAGTACGGTACGGATTACGATAGGCCGACAACAGCCGAGGCTGACGTGAGGTACCTCAACGTGAGTCTGGCAAGAGCAAGATATAACTTGGTGCTGTCTACTGCAGCAGTCGAGAAATGATTAGTACACCACCATGAGCGAAACGAAGAAACTATCTGTTCCCCCATGGCAGCAGCAGCAGCAGCAGCAGCCTGCCGGTGACGCCTCCGAGGACACCACCACCACCACCTCTTCCTCCCCCCCCGAGACACCAGAAGCCACATCACGAACAGCACTCCTTGAACAGGCAGGCAAGTTCTTAGAGGACGATTCGATACGAGAGGCGCCCAGAGAGCGAAAGGTGGCGTTTCTGGAGTCCAAAGGGCTGAGTCTGCAGGAGATTGAGACGTTGCTGGCTGGTGCCGTCCAACCAGAGCCGGGGACAAGCACGAGCACGAGCGCGAGCATGCCTAAAGAAGAAGCTGCAGAGACGCAACCACCACCGAACAAGGAGACGGCCAAGGAAACGGCTCAATTGCGTGCCCCTCGCGATGTCCCGCCTATCATAACGTACCCTGAATTTTTCTTCGAACCTGCGCGGCCCCCGCCGCTTGTCACCCTTCGAAGCTTGCTGTACTCGCTGTATGGCGCCGCGGGCCTGGGTGCGGTCGTCTACGGGGCGAGCGAGTACCTGGTGAAGCCGATGCTAGCAGATCTCGGCACAGCACGACATGAGCTGGCACAGACTGCGTCAGAGAACCTGACCAAGTTGAACGAGAAGCTGGAGCAGAACGTCTCGCGGATCCCCGCACAGCTCCTCGCCGCCAAGACCAAACACGGCGACAACAAATATGACGATGAAGCCGGGGATGGAGAATCAGTCACCTCAGACCCGACGGAGCTCTTCCACCGCGATGTCGCGACGCAGACAACCCCGGACCTTGTCCATCCGCTCGCCACCGCCCTCCCCATCTCCGCCCCCGCCCCCCCGACTGACGACAAACCCATCGATACCCAGCATGACCCCGTCGCCGCCGTGACGGAGCATATCAAACGGCTGGACGTGCTCGCCTCGCACTTGCGCGAGATCGTCGACACGGAAACCACCACCCGCTCGGCAGAGGACTCCTTCGCCACCCGCGCCACCGAGCTGCGCCATTACCTCGACACCTTGATCTACAGCGCCCCCACGTACACCATGACTGCCACCGGCTTGTCGACAGCTACCTCCACGGGCTACGGCGCGTATAGCTCCCCGGGCGTTGACGGAGCGCCCGCCATGCCCGGTATAGCCAAGGGCGAGGAGGACGCCATTGCCGGCTTCAGAGCGGAGATCCGCGGCGTCAAGGGGGCGTTGCTAAGTTCGCGCAACTTTCCCTCAGGCCGCGGTGCAAGGGTTTACGGCGGTGTTGCTAGGTGATTGTTCTCCCATGACATGTAAATAATCCGGGATACCAGGCGACAATGATATATTATTACCTATGAGCTACCCTAGTTTGTTTCAATACACTACGACTGTTGTTTTTTTTTTTTTTTTTTTTTTTCTTTTTTGAATAAGAACAGATATAATTTCAGAAGAAATACATCAACAGGAAAGATGAAGTAAGACAAATTCCAGAACCACTTATATCACCCCGTGCCTTCATACATAGTAAGATATACTCTTTTTTCTTTCTCTATGCACTACTATTACGACTTACTCAGGGAGTTGCTCTGCTCATGCTGATCAATCGTTTCACACCAACCTGCGCATATTAGAAAAAAAGAGGAAAAAAAGAAGTAGGATGTGGGATAACTTACCATCCACTGGCCACACTCGTCTGTACGGTTAGTGAGGAGGTCGAGATGGATGGTCCGAGCCGTCTCGTAGTCACGCGCCTGGATGGCCCGCGCCAGCTCTGTCATGTCCGCGACTGTATTGGGTCTGAGCAGATCCTCATTGTTGAGATGGTCGAACAGGATGTTCAATCGTCGCTCAGCATCATCCACTTGCGCCTTGAATGAGGATGGTGCGCGGGATTTGACGCGCTGCATATCTGCCGACAGAATCTCAAAGACGGGCATCGCGTCAGCGGGAATGTGGGAGCGATCGCCGGATGCTTTTTGAAGGTTAGTTTGGTGATACACAATGAAAGAGAGAATTGGGATATGAAGAAATGTACTTACGGTACTTTGGAGGTGCAGGCGCGACCTTCTTCTGCGACTGCGCAGTGCTAGGTCGGGAACCCTGAGAGGGGACCTGAGGAGGAGGGGGAGGCATAGACTGCTGTGTAGTCGGGGGGCCGGAAGGAGCATATGGGTTGGCCACCGGCGGAGGGTGGGCAGCATACGGCGACGGAGCGACTCCTCCCTGCGGCGGAGGTGGGATCGAACCACGAGACTGCATCTGGGGAGCAGCAGCCTGTGGGACCGGGCTCGGGGCATATCTGTTCGTAGGCGGGGGAGCGGAGGGAGGCGCGTTGTAGGGAGATGGACCACGAGCCACGGGAGGCACGCTCATGCCCGGCATGGCGGTAGGTGGAGACCGAGGCAAGGACGCGTATGGGTTAGTAGGCGGTGCTGGGATAGAGGACACTTGCGGAGCAACTGGTGGAGACATCACACGGGGCGGGGGGGGAGCTCCAGCCTTGGGCGGAGGCGGGACGGAGGGTGCTCGCTGGGGTTGCCCAACGGGGGGAGGACCGCCTTGAGGAAGCGTGGGCGATTGGTTCGGGAAGGGCGAATTGATAGCAGCTGGTGCGGCTGCCGGAGTGCTCTTGCGAGACACCGAGACCTTTGCAAAGTCGTCTGGCAGGTCGTTCCACGCAGGGATGTTGCGGGGCACCGTGTACGTCGTCACGGCAGGCGACGAGGTAGAGGCTCGGGGAGGCGGAGGAACGCCTGTACCATACGTCTGGGCACCATAGGGTCCCGGCGGCGGGGGCACGGCAGCAGACCTCATGGGTTGCGGAGGCTGGTAGCCGGTCGGAGCATAGCCAGTATTGGGGATGGATGCATAAGGGTTGGCCGGTTGCGAGGAAGCAGGAGGCGCATACGGGTTCGCGGGTTGCACCGGGGCTGCGGCAGCAGCAGCAGTTGGGGGCGCATACGGATTCTGAGCCGGCGGCGGGGTGGGCGCTGCAGGTGCGCTGGCAGCAAAGGTAGACTGAGGCGTGTAGGTGCTCGGCTGAGGGAGAGCCTTGGAAGATTTCCTGGCCGCAGAGACGGGGACGGCCTGCGATCTCTGGGGGGCAGGCTGGCGAGTGGCCAGCTTGATACGGTTGCGAGCGACTTCAGCCTCCGGATGCTTCTCCGGCACAAGATCGAGGTATTTCTGCGCGATCTGCAGGCGTCCATGTGTCGCAACAACGTCGGCGTACTCGATGTACTTGTCATACAGGACGTTGAGCTTCCAGTCTGACTCCTTGCTGCGTTCCGTGTCCTGGAACTTGGTGACCTGGCGGAAGATGGTCACCTTCTCGATCAGACTTTGCAGAGCATGGACGTGAATGGAGAAAGAGGTGTTCTCCGTGGCAGTCTCGATGTTCTTCTGTTCGTTTTCCCTAAGCTCCTCGATCCAGATGCCGACGACCTTTTCGAGCTTGGAACCCGCAAGGTAGCAGAGGGAGGCATCCTTCCGGCCAGACTTGTCATCCGTGCTGCGAATCTGCTCTTCAATGCGATCACCCAGAGCTTCACACAGGTCAGCGAATTCCTTCTCGTCGGCGAACGTGCAGAGAGCCGCAAGGACTTCCTTCCAGTTGGACAGATCCGCATTGTGAACAACATCCCAGAGGTTCTTGCCGACGATGGACGCAAGCAGGCGCAGGTAGTTGGGGCCTCCGGTTTGCTTAGAGAAGTAGAACTCTTGTGCCTTGTCGATGCACTTCTGACCGCCACAGATGGCAATCATGAATGCGTCAGACATGCGGTCCTCCTGAAGAGCGACATCAAGAGCCTTCTCGAAGTCTCCAAGCAAAAGTGAACGGGTGATCCGGCGTTCCGCCTCGGACTCGTTACCGGTGAAGATCTGGAACGGGTTGTTGGTCCTGGCACCCTTGGAAGCGGCCAGGTCGGTCAGGAAATTGTCTCCTTCGGCATTAGTGTCAAAGATTGACTGCAGGCGTTTATGCTTCTTCGCTCCCGACCCGCGGGATTCCGTCTCAGTCGCGGCTCCGTTGGTTTCCGACTCCTCTTTGTCGACCTGAAGCTTGGCCAATCCATCCGCAGCTTCATCAAGCTGGTCATTGAACCCGAGATACTCCACAAGGCTCTTTCTGGGACTCTCGGAAAGCAAAGTCTCGATGACCTTCCAGTCGGCCTTTTCCTCGTCGGTCGTGGCACCCGTGATGCGGGCTTCGCAGATGGACTTCAGGTCTCCCTCGCGCAGTGCGTTTTCAAAGCTTTCCGTGGACTTCCCAACAGACTCATCCACTTCGAAAGGAGTGATGCGGACCTTCGAGGCGCGCTTGCCCTTTTCAGCTAAGCCAACCGAGACGACTCTGCCGCCAAAGCCAAACGCAGCGCTGCTGGGTCGCTCCAGCCACTTGGGAGGCTTGGGAAGCGAAAAAGTAGAGACTTGGGGCTGAGTCTGAGCCTTTGCAAAGAAATCTTCACCGTCGAGAGACTGGTTTTGATCCACAATGGCCTGAGCAGTCTCTGTGCTGGTGTTCTGGATGGTCTGAACCGAGATCCGTCCGTCAAAGGAGGCAGTCGCGAAAAAGTTGGGATTGTGGGGGTTCCAGCGAGTTTGGAAAGTCCAGTTGGTAACAACAGGGAACTCGCCGTAGGCCTGGCCGGTCTGAGGGTTCCAGCAAATCGTGCGGTTATCCTTTCCGGAAGAGAGCAGGAGGTCAGGGTCTTGCGCGCACCACGACAGCGACAGAACACCCGACTCGTGGCCTCTCAGAGTCTGTAGGTCAATCAATTAGTATATCCATACACTTGACTCGTTCATTAGCCGACGACACCTACCCGTTCCGGAGCGTGGGAGTTTCGGAGATCCCAGACGCAGATCAACGGATCCGATTCTAGCGGTGTCGAGGTGATCAGTTTCGTGGGCTGTTGACAGACCGTCAGTAAACAGATGTGCAGTGCCAATCATTTGCAATGAATGACGCGCACCTTTTCAGGATCCCAAACAACAGCGCTGACAGCCTTGCGACCCATGTTGTTCAGAGTCAAGCTCTCCTTCTTCGTCTTGACATCCCACACGGTAACAAAACCCGCACTGCTACCAGTGACCAGGATATGGGCGACCTTTTTGTTCCAGTCCAAGCACTCGATATCGTCGGCCCGCGCGGCAGTGCTGCCGAGACGGAATGGGTTCGCAAGATTGTTCAGGTCGGAGATGTAAAGCTAGATCATTCATCAGTTGAGAGTCTATTGCCAGCAAGAGCTGAAAATTCTAGCGCGTACCTCCCCCTTGGCTCCTCCAGTGGCCAGAAGGTTCGAGTGTTTGGGGTTGAACTGCAGTGCTTTGATCGCACCCGAGTGCTTGGAGGTCCGCGACATTAAGGCATCACTGTGATTCAAACCGAATGGTCAGGAAAGTCCAGAGGGCTAAAATATGATAGCATCTCGTCATACCTCTCTCCACCCAGCAGTTTATCCGCATCCCATAGATCTAACGACCCATTCTCTAGCGCACCCGCGATGATACCTCGTTTGTTATCTTCTGATTCTGTCCACGCAAGATCATTGAATCTATATAGAATCATTCCAATTAGCCCATGAACATATAGTATAAATGCAGGGGATGGATCTCCTACCCGGAGTCGGTATCGATCTTAGCGACAGGTTGGAGCTCCCCTCCGGCGTTCGGGCGGTCCAAGCCTAGATCCCACAACTCGAGGCATGTTTCATTTGAGAAATTGACGTCGACGGCGCCTGCTCGAGTACCGGTAGCAATCAATGGCGATGCTGCCCCGGGAGACCAAGCAAAGGTGGCTGTCCGGGGGATCTCCCTTAAACGCACCATGCTGATAACAACAGTTTGGGGGGGGAGGAGGGACAAAAACAAACAGATGTCAAACGGATAGGAAAAAAGACAAGAGAAAAATCGTATCACCAAGAGAAAGGAACAGCCTTGCAAGGTCAAACCTCCCCTCTTCTAAGCGATTCTGACCCAAGTCGTGTCTGGATTGTATGGGCAGGTCAGTCAGTTAATTGCGATGCGTCCAAGTGTCCTCGCTGGGTGCTTTGGGGCAGCCCGGCACCACTAGGCCCGGTCGGGCGAAAGCCGCAGCACGTGATATTGGTCCCTCAGCCAAATCGACCCAAGTGGTACAATCACGATCTGACATTAATAGTATTATATCCAGACGGAGAAGGCCAGTTCTTCCAGGAAAGAATACAGGAAAACCCCCAGAAGAAGAGCTGTTTGGAAGAACACGATGAGCGAAGCCTCCCGCTTGAAGAGCACCATCTACGTGGGCGGGCTGGACCAGGCTGTGACGGTGAGAACACTGGCCGAAGCGTTTGTGCCGTTCGGCGAGGTGGTGGACATTACACTCCCTAAGCCGGATCTACCGAACTCTGGCGACCTGCACCGGGGGTTTGGCTACGTGGAGTTTGAACTGCCTCAAGACGCAAAGGAAGCGATCGATAATATGGACGGAAGCGAGCTTTACGGGCGAACGATCAAGGTTGCCGGCGCCAAGCCGCAGAAGGATAGCAATGAAGGGCTGGGAAGCAAGACGGCGATTTGGGAGCAGGTAGGTCCCTCAGTCCTAGCTGTATGCGCAGTGACGAAAAAAAAAAATTACTCATGACTACTACAGGAGGGATACCTGGCGAAATACGCGGTTAGCGAAGAGGACCGGCTTGCCGCAGAGGAAGCTCGAGAGGCCTCCAACAATCGGCCACAAGACCCGATGCAAGGGCTAGAAGAGCTCGATGTGGCAGGGCCGAAACCCGAGTAAAAAAAAAGAGAGATGGAAGGAGGCCAGAAAGATTATTCAAGCCAACGACTCGCGTGGTTTGGGAGGCAAGCGATACAATTTGATATTGCGAAGAATGACTCCACCGAACACCCTCCTTCAGAGCGGTACTATATACACGCAACTGCAACCCGACTTTGCTTCCGGTGTTGTCCAAGCTTTCTCTCCAAGGAACGCGCCATCTTACATTTTCCTCCATTGGAACAGTAACACCACCCCGTCACAACGCAGAAATATCAGGATAGAAGTACATTTAGTGCTCGCGGTCCTCGGGCTTGTTGCGGTAGAGACGCAGGGTCTTGTCGGTCATGAGCTTCTTGCTGGAGGAATAGATAGCAGCACCGAGGGCGACGCTGTCATATCAAAGTCAACGCCGATTCTTCTTTTTTTCCACTTGCTCTTTTTCTTTCAAGAAAATACATACCCAAGAACGATACCTATCAAGTAGATCAAAAATTAGCCATTGAGTGCCTTCGTATTCGAGAATAGCTCCGACAAGACCTACCGAGAGGAATCAGCTCCGGGGGGACCCTCTTCAAGGTGCGCAGGCGCTGAGAGATGGTGTGGGCTAAACGAAAGAACCGGTTAGAAAGAGCTTCAAAAAGCAAAGACGGGTGTGGAATTGGCCATTGCCACAGCAAAGCATCAATGCATTTGCATTTGCTGCCACGCCGATCACCACACATCGAGGAACGCCCTACCGCTCTGGTTCTCCTTCTGCCCATCGCCAGCCCCGTTAGCAACATCATACGATCGCACCGCCCAGTGGACAATCCCACCGAGCGGGAAAAGGAAAGGAATTCACTCACAGGAGTAGGAGCATAGAAGGGCCGGGAAGGCTGCATCCTAAACACACGAGAGGGATACATTTCTGGATGGTAAGCAGGGGTTTTGGGGGGGGTGTTATTCGCTCTGCAGTGGTGACGGAAGGTTTGGGTGGTCTCGGAGGAGAGGGACGGAACGGAATGGGCTTAGTCAACGTGTTGCATGAGTGGCTCGCTACGCTGACCGCGGCCAGTCCGGCTTCACAGCTGCCGCCGGGTCATTCCACCCAGGACAGAAGCTCTCTCTTCCCTTTTCCACTCCCTCGTCCCCCCTCCCCAATTCCCACCCCCCTCCTCTCCACCCCGCGTTTTCGTCTTGTATTTATTCGGATATCGATTTGAATCGCCGCAATGGGTGCCATTCCTGAAGCTGACCCCGATGAGCCCGTCGAGACCAAGCCCTTCAAGTTCGTGACAGGTGAGTTGCCTCGATCTGCGCCCTGCCCACATGCTGCGACGTGCGATGGCCTCAATAGGTCACTAATGGATGCATTTTTGCTAACATAATCTATAGCTGGTACGTGTGTCAATGCTTGATTTATGGTTTTCTTTCCCCCCCCGGATTGGCGACGACACGTTTCGTGGAGCTGGACCTTTCGATGAGCAACACTGGCAGATATCGAAGCGTTCCGATCTGACGGCGATCCAATTTTTTTTTAGGTTACGATGCCCGTTTCCCTCAGCAGAACCAGTACGTGGACCCCGATCGGATTTTCGATTCAAGCGTTTGCTGATATTGTTTTGCGAAATAAAGGACCAAGCACTGCTGGCAGAACTATGTTGATTACTACAAGTGTGTCAACGCCAAGGGCGAGGACTTCCGCCCCTGCACTCAAGTACTGTTTACCCTAAGACTTCAATTGACTGGCAATGGTCTTTGGGTGAAATTGATTTTAACGGCTCATTAGTTCTTCCACGCTTTCCGCTCCCTCTGCCCTAAGGCCTGGACTGACCGCTGGGATACTCAGCGTGGTAAGTTACAGTCTCTTTGCTCTGCCATTGGCTTGGAAGAAGTATTCTAATGAGAAAAAAAAAACAGAGGCTGGTAACTTCCCCGCTCGCCTGGACAGGTAAACAGCCGAGTTTGTGATATTGATTGAGTTTTTTTCTGTCGACAACGCACCATGTAATCTACCTGAACACGCGAGAAAAAACCAAAAGCGTCGCTCGCCTCTCGAGTCTCTCGTCGCTGAGAGGAAGAGTGTACATATACTCGCAATTTGAGGAATGTATTGCAATATGAACTAGCCATAGCCATAAGCCATGTTTACTTACCCGTAAGATTTGTACTGTGGTTATTACAATATAGTGGCAGAAATGCTACTCAGACTAATCATGACTGCATTGTTCTATTGTCAGTCTATCAATCTATCTCTTACTGGTTCCATGCCAGAGTTTCTCGTAGCTGTACATTGAGACAAGCCACATGCCAGGTCTATGCGGTTCAGCTGATACAGTACAGCGAGCCAATCCAAAAAAAAAAACAAGAGGTATATACAAAAAAAAGGATATAGATGAACACAAAATGAACAGGGAAAAATGCAACACACAAATGTAGATATTCAAACCTAGTTGCTGTGAGGGTCGTCCGGGATCCCCTTAACAAGACGGTAGATACGTTTATGTTCTTCGAGAAAGAGGAAAGTGGCGATTGTATGCGGACCCAGACGAATGAAGCTGGGCACCCAACCGCGGAAGACCCAGGTGAGGCCCTCGCGGCGGTAGATGTCGCGCAGGAGGCCGAGCAGGCCGTGGCCGTGCGACTCGGCGGCGGAGGCGCTCATGACGCGGGTCTTGATCACATCGACGGGGCTGCACATGGTGGTGGCGACGAAGCCGGCCATGAAGGAGGCAGTGAAATGCGTGAGCAGACTATCGCCCATGCCGATCTGGTCGATGCACAACCGCTTGAAGGTGTCGTAGGTGGTGAGCTGCGAGGCCGTCATGAGCACCGCGCGCGTCGAGTTCGGCCACACGCCGCGGAAAAGGCTGGCGAACCCTTCGTCGCGCGTCATCCGGACCAGACCGTGTAGGGCGTGTCGGTAGTTTCGTCGTTGCGCGGGGGGTAGTGCCGCGTCCGACTGCATGCGAACGTTCAGCACATCGGCCGGGTTGCCTGCGATGCCGCCGATGAAACCCGAAGCACATGCAATTCCAAGGAGGGTGAGTAGGCCCGGTGGTGCGTTCGGATCCGAGGAGGCTCGCGATTTCAGCTCTTCGTATATCCCGAAGCGCGTGGTTGAGTATGTGAGTTGACGGAGGATTGCGGCGGAGAGCTATTTCATGGAATCACATAAGCACCATCCACCCAACCTTTTTTCGATTTGAATCATGAGAGGGGGGGGGGGGAAACGCACTCCACTGTACAAGCCTAGGATTCCATTGTTCTTCACCACATGGCCAAAAGTGCCCACCATGCTCTTTGGAGCATCCGGCGCTCGCGTTTGTAAGCGTACCTATCGATGTCAGCGTGTTCGATATAGGGGCAACGCATCGAATAGGAGGTATTCTTTGGTTTTGGAGGGTTTTTTTTACCTTGACTATCACAAGCTGTCAGTAAATGGTCCATCATGCAAGGCAAACTGGGACTGGCAGAGAACCTGCCCTTGGTCCGACTTACCAAGATCCAACGGATGAGTAACCGCCGCTGCACAGCAGGACGCGGAACCACCGAACCAGAAGGGATAATGGACTTTGCCCATGGGCACAGCAGGCGCTGCCCCGGCCGTTTGGGCTGGCGAATCGTCCACCTTGATGTGAACGGCCATCTTTCTCTTTGCTGTGGTAGCAGGCTCGATGACGCTGGGCGCAGGGATCGATTTCGGTATAAAACCGTTTCACCGGAGATAAATCAGTCGCCGATGCGCTCGGCTCAGGCGCCAATCAGCGCCTCGGTTTTGACGATTCACCTTTTAGCCACTGACTAAGCTTATGTAATCCTGGAGCCATTGATGTTCTGGATAACGATGCTTACTAAGTACCTGGGTACTTGGTAACTAACTAGGTAGTTAACTAGGTAGTTACCTGAGTATGTCCATAGTAGCTCTATAATTACATTGAGATGATATTCTATGAGTACTTCAATAGCAGAAAATAGTACTTTATGATTTAGTCCATTGATTTTGAGTGCCTAACTGAGATCTACCAGCTAGTTATGTATATATGTACCTCTTTATGCACCTATTTATGTTCATAGAGGTACATAATAGCTATGCTCCTACTGAGCACTCAGTACTCAGTACTCCGTATTAGATCATATGACTTGAGCCTGAGGTATCTATCAAGGCAGGTCACGTTTCCGCCCTTTGCACAGAAGAAAAGGAAAGTCCATTGTCTCCCGCTCGACGTCCGGCTTCTCCTCCCACTCGCCCGGATACCGCTCCACCTTCTTCGTGAAAGTCCACGCAGGCGTCACCTCGACGTCGACGAAGTCCGTCTCCTGCATGAGGAGGCGGAAAGACTCGCGCTGGATACCGTGTCGCTCGACGCCCTCCAGCTTCGACGCCGGGTGGTACTTACGGGCTTCGGGGCCAAAGTCCTCGAAATCCGTCAACACAATCCAGCCGCCCGGTTTGAGACACCCGTGCATGGTCCGAAGCAGCTGGCTGAGATCGGGGATATGGTGCAGCATCAGATGGCTGAGGATCAGATCGTACTTTCTTCGTGGTCCGGCCGGGTCATCCGCTGAATGCGGTGGCAGACGCGAGTCTTCCGGGTCCTGCAGGACCAGACACAACGGATGGATGGTTTGGGTACTGCTGCCCTTGGCGTCCGATGTTTCGAGCTTCTTTTTCAATCTCTCAATCATGCCTGGTGCAGCATCGATAGCCACAAGGGAGCGCACTGTCGGCGCAACAAGCAGGGAGAGGCCTCCCGTTCCGCAGCCGAGCTCGAGAACATCGATGCTTCTCTTCGCACCTGGTTCTTGCTTGTCAGAGCTCATATTCATCACAGCCAATGCAGCGTACGCACTCATTAGATCAGGGACCGCCGCCTGGATCGTCGTCCAGACGTGTTGGTTCGATTCTTCAACCCCTGGCCGGTTATCCCATGTCGCTGCCTCGGCGTTAAATCGTTCATTGTTCTGGGATGTCATAATGGGCGTGCGTGATATTGATCTGAAGCTGGAGGTCCGTGTAATAGCAGCTTTATCTTCTAGAGGGGTATGTACATGTACAATATGCTTGATCAGAGGAACAACCCTGTACTCGGGTCAGATAAAAGCGGGGTAAGTGTTTTCGTGCTAGGCGACTAAAATGATGCAATCATGGTGTGTACTACTATGTATGTAGTACACTATGCTCCTGTGTAGATGTTTCTGCGTCTATATTGCACATAATCGCTGCTGGAAACTCGGATACATACATACAACTCTACAATCCGAGCCACCGTTCACTCTGTTCTAGGCGATAGACACCCTGGAGAAGGAGATCCCTGGATGAGAACCCTACCGAGATACCATAGTCGCCGGCCTCGTTGATCCACGTTTTCTCCGCCTCGTTCCAGTAGGATGTGGCATACCGGTCCACTGTGACGCTTACCCTCTGGCTCTGTCCGACCTCCAAGCTCACCTTCTCGAATGCAACCAGCTGGCGCGGAGCACGAGGGAAGGTCGAGGTCTGCGCTGACACGTAGACCTGTGCGACGGCTGCACCCTTTCGAGAGCCGGTGTTGGTCACAGAGAAGGAGATTCGGTTGCCATCGATCTCGAGCTTCGAGAGTGCGAATTGCGTATATGAGAGGCCATGTCTAGGGAGACATGTCAGTAGCAGAACACTAAGAAAGAAAAGAAGAAAAGAAAAGAAAAGAAAAGAAAAGAAAAGAGAAAGCAGCTTACCCAAAGCAGAAAGCCGGCTGCTTCTTGACCAGATCATAATGGCGATATCCTACGTAGATGTCTTCTCCATACAGTACTCTGCCTGCGACAGCCCCAAAGTTACCGTAGGACGGATTATCTTCAAGTCTGACCGGCCACGTCAAGGGAAGCTTGCCGCTCGGGTTGATATCCCCAAACAGCACGTCTGCGATCCCGTTGCCGCTCTCGTTGCCGCCATACCACGCCTGAACGATCGATTTGGCAGACGATAGCCATGGCATCGTAACCGGCGTCCCGCTCTGGTTCACAATGACAGCGCTCGGATTGGCTTCCAGAACTCGCGTCACCAGTTCGTCCACGCCGGGGGGAAGATCCATGTGTTGGCGGTCGTAGCCTTCAGACTCAAAGTCGCTCTACATCGGCATTAGTACATTTGCCAAAAGAAAAAAAAAAAAAAAAAGGTAGCATAGAGCGAAGGGGTAAGTCGTACGTTCAACCCGGTACAAACGATCACGTAGTCGGACTCTGCAGCCAGCCTGGCTGCTCGAGAAATGTCAGCTTCCAGGTTGCTGACCGGTTTGGCTCCCAGACGAGCGCCTCCGCCGCCGAAGCTGACAACGCCGACCTGCATCAACTTGGATGTCTTGGCGCTTCCAAATTCGATCCGAAGCTTGTATGTGACATCCTTCTCCAAGAAGATCTTGTCGATCTTCTCTTTGGTCCCCTTTCTGAAGAAAGCCTCGCCGGCAACTTGATTAGTGGAATTCTCGATCACCAGCTGGTCATTGATGTATAGGTCTGCTGTTCCGCAGACCGTCAGGCCAAATTCCCAAAGACCACTGACGTCGGGAGTGAAGTCGGCCTCGACCGTGGCGTAGAAGAGGTCATAGTTGAGTCGTGGGTTCCGGTTGTAGTCCATTAACTGAAAGTTCAGGTTCTTGAGGGGTTCTTCACAAATGCACTCCCTTGGCGAGGCGCCAGGGCTCCATGGCTCATTGTAAAACCGGATGAGGCCTCCAGAGGCGTTTTCCGGGTGGGAAATAAGCGAATCGACCATCGGAAGCATCTTCACAGCGCATACGCCCATTTCCCACTTCACAGTCACGGAATCGCCGACCTTGTTCTTGATTGCATCCAGAATTCTGACCACATAGTACGGATCGAGCGAGGCGCTGCCACCACCATTGATCGGGGTGTACCTGGCGTGTGAGCCGATAACCGCGATCTGGCTGCCTTTCTTGGGCTGAAGGGGCAGGATGTCTCCGTCATTCTTCAGAAGGACGATGCTGTTCGCTGCTAGTTCGCGATTGAGCGCGCGGTCTTCCGGGCAGTCTCGGCTGGATTCAACCGGGCTGACCTCCACCTCACTTGCTCTCTTCATGAACTTCAGGACCCGGCGGGCACGCTGGTCGATCGTCGTCTCGGTGAGAAGACGAGACCCTATAGCAAAGTTCGCGAGCACACCGCGATATCTAGTCTTGCCGGGCATCTCAAGATCCAGCCCAGCCGTGATAGCCTTGACGGTCGAGTAGGTACCGAACCTATTTGCCACTGTAAGCTGCGACGGCCCCTTGAAGAAAAACTAGAATGGTCCTCAACCGTACCAATCACTCATCATGAGGGGATCCCATCCCCATTCACGACGGACGAGATCCTCCAAAAGCGTAGAGTCTTCCGAGACATGGCATCCGTTGACTTTGTTGTAAGCCGTCATAAGACCACCCGGTTTCGCATCCCGGGCCACGATCTGAAAGGGCCGGGCATAGATCTCTCGTAGCGCGCGAGGCGTGACCAAGGTATCGACAGCTCTCCGCTCGTCCTCTTGATCGTTGCAGACAAAGTGCTTCACGACCGACTGGACTCCCGTCGCCTCGCATCCTTGAATCGCATGGGCTGCCAGGACTCCCGACAAATACGGATCTTCCGAGTACGACTCAAAGCCTCTGCCACCTAGCGGGGACCGTTGGATATTGATCGTAGGACCCAACCAGGCATGAGCACCCTTGGCAATGCACTCTTTCCCCATCAGGTCGCCGGCCTTGCGCAGAAGCTCTTTATCCCACGTTGCACCCAGACCAGTCCCGCAAGGGATACATGCCGCAGAGACTCCAGCAAAGAACCTAGTTCCTCGAATGCCATTGGGGCCATCAGACACGCGGATTTTCGGGACTCCATGTTGTGCAAACTCGGCAGTGTGCCAGAAATCCGTTCCTAACCTTCAATCAGTCCTGGCCCCTATATTGGCGGCATTCTGGCTGACCAAGTCACCTACCGGACAGCAGAGCAATTTTCTCCTCCACCGAAAGAGCCGAAAGCACCTCTTCAACCTCAAACATGGCTGTCGTAGACGATGATTCTATCTCGATTCCTGCTGAAGTAGTTTTGGCGGGGCAGCGTCACCGCCCCAGGAAAGCCCATTATTATAACGGATAAGATATAGCTCGGTGTATATTACTCCGAAGAGGATACTCCGGATTGTCGGCCCGGACTGGTGGTTGAGTTCCATTCTGCCTGGACGAGTTCCAGTCGTTTTAGTGGGGAATAACTTCGGCAATTGGGAGGAAGGGAGCCGGTTCGGGTCTCGGATGCAGCATTTCCCCATGCACAGCAAGATGGGCATTCTGAAAAATGGGGAGTTGGCCCACTGATGCACATGGTTGGTTCCTCAGAAGCTAGAAGAGCATGAAGAATCGCGAGGTGGTGAAGTGAAGCTGATGTGGTGTCGTCGCCAGTTGACGAGCCAGTCCCAACCGGGCATCGCGGCAAGTCACCTGACCCGCGCCGAGGAAACTCGGAAAGTCTTGGAGGAAACAACAACGAAAGGCGACGAAACGAGTGTGAGGGAGCAGCCAGTCCGCTCGCTGCCAATTGTTCGGGTCTGATGCGTTTGCTCGCTACGGGCAGAGCCCTGCGCGCAAGCAGTGGGAGATGGGCGGTTGCTTCTGCCTCTGGACGGGGGAGACTCCGCCTCCCCATCTCGTCGTTCCCAGAGCCTCTGCACAGACAGAGAGTCTGGTCGGGGACACGGAGTGTTGTGAATATTGCGGCTGCCAAACAGGCAGCTAAGCCGACAGAGACATCTCGGCCTCCGGTCACCGTGGAGGGAGAGTCTTACAGGACGGACGAGTGGACAAACACCCCCGAAACGATCCTCTCGCATGTCGGCCGACATCTGTACCTCGAGGACAACCATCCACTGGCCATCACTCGGAAGCTGATCGAAAGCCAGTTCCCTGGTCCGGTGTATGGGAACTACTCGGAACGCAACCCTGTTGTTTCCACTGCGCAGAATTTCGACGTGTTGGGCTTTCCGCTGGACCATCCGGGCCGCAGCCGAACAGATACATACTACGTCAACGACAAGACCGTTCTTCGAACGCACACGAGTGCACACCAGCAAGCATATTTTCAACAGATCAATCGGAATGCGTCGGTGAAACCCGAGGAGGTTGGATACACGGTTGTTGCGGATGTCTACCGTCGCGATGCCATTGACCGGAGTCACTACCCCGTCTTCCACCAGATGGAGGGCGCCCGCCTGTGGAAGCGCCCGGAGACTGAGCCTTTGAAAAATTCCGCGGTGACTGCTGCCGCGATTGTGCGGGACGTGGATGCTCTTCCCACCCATGATGTTGTGGTGGAGGACCCCAACCCGACCATGCACTCGGAGCGCAACCCGCTACAGGCGCAATACCATAGCGCCGAGGAGGTTGAGGCCGCCGCCGCGCATCTGAAGAAATCCCTGGAGCTCATGGTGATCAAGATCTTCACCGAGGCGAGCAAAGCGGCGGCCGGGCTCGACCCGGCCTTCCAACCGGAGCCCTTGAAGGTCCGCTGGGTGGAGGCGTACTTCCCGTTCACCAGTCCATCCTGGGAAATGGAGGTATTCTGGCAGGGCGACTGGCTGGAGATCCTAGGCTGCGGGATCATCAAGCAGGAGCTGCTCAACAATTCGGACGTGCCGCACCGCATGGGCTGGGCGTTTGGGCTGGGGCTGGAACGCATCGCGATGCTTCTCTTCAACATCCCGGACATCCGCCTCTTCTGGTCGCGCGACGAGCGTTTCCTCTCGCAGTTCCAAGCTGGCAAGATCACCCGGTTCGAGCCCTTCTCCAAGTACCCGGCCTGCTACAAAGATGTCGCGTTCTGGCTGCCCTCGGCGTCTGCCGGCAGCAGCGTCAGCGCGGCGGGCGGTGCGGCCTCCGTCCACGAGAATGATATCATGGAGATTGTGCGCGGCATCGGCGGCGACCTCGTCGAGGATGTCCGCCTTATCGACGAGTTCACCCATCCCAAGACCCGCCGGCAGAGCATGTGCTACCGCATCAACTACCGCAGTCTCGAACGCACGCTAACCAACGAGGAGACAAACGATCTTCACGAAAAGGTCCGGGCCAAGTTGGTGGGCCAGCTGGGTGTGGAGTTACGATAAACCAAGAGGGAAAAAAAAAGTCTCGGCCATGTATAACCCTTGTATCACCTCATGTACAATATCTCCTCTAGCCCTACTCTCGAAAATGCAGTCTTTTCATCATCAAATCATGATCTGATTATATTGTTTATTCCTGACACGTCTGAGACTATGCTCCATGCTATGGTATGACAACCCGGTTCATAAAAGAAATGATACCTTTTTCCAACGAAGAAGAAGAAACAGACGACGCCATGAGGTATATCGTACAGATACAGAGAGTGGAGAGTAATTAAGTCCAAAAAAAATAATAAGAAAATAAGAAGAAAAAAAGGGGTAAGCAGTCCAGTGACTCATAGCCAGTAGGCACAAGGACAAGGTGGGCATATGGTACAAGGAGATTTCTTTTTTTTTCCGTGCCAAAACCAATGCGAGAGATTCTGAAAGAAAAGAACGTTACATGCTTCTTTCGGTCATGATGATCCTTCCCATGATGGTGAGTGAGAGAGAAAAAATATATTTATACAATAGTTGGGACAGGAGGAAGGTATCGGAAGGGTGGTTGTAGATTCGATTGATTTAAGCGTTCTTGACAACGCCGACCTTAGCAGCCTATTCAACAGGTTAGTCACGAGCCAAGGATGATAAAAAAAAAAAAACCGAGACAAGAGGCATGGATATAACTCACTCGCAACACTCTTCCGTGGAGCTTGAAGCCCTTGGTCTGGGCGTACATGATGTCGCCGTCCTCGAGAGCCTCGTTCTTGGACATGAAGGTAGCCTCGTGCATGTTGGGGTCGAACTTCTGGGGCTTGCCACCCTCGGCGGGCAGGCTGGCGTCGAACTGCTCGAGGCCGTGCTTTTTGAGCGTGCCCATCAGGATGTTCTGAGTCATCTGGAGGCCCGAGACGAGGTCCTGGACCTCCTGGCTCGCCTCGGCGCTCAGCTTCTCCGCGGGGACGGCCAGCAGCGCGCGGTCAAAGTTGTCGATGCTCTCCAACAGGTCGACGGCGAACCGTTGGATGGCGAAGTTGCGGGCGTTGTCCATCTCGCGCTTCGTGCGCTCCTGCAGGTTCAGGAAATCCGCCACCGACCGCCTGTACTTGTCCTTCAGTTCGACAATCTCCTTCTGCTTCCCCTCGAGCTCCTTGCGGAGCAATTCCTCGCCGTTCTCGCCCGCGGCGGCCTCCTCCTTCGCCGCCTCCTTTGGTTGCTCGCCAGCGGCGCTGTTGTTCTCGGTCGAGTAAAGCCGTCTCCCGTGCTGGGGGACCGCTGCCACCCGGATCCCCTGGGCAATGCGAGGCTGCATTCGTGACGTTTGACGGAGGGCCATGGGTGTAGAGGTCAGGGAAAGGGCAGCAGACCGGGCAGCCTGGCCCTGGCGGAGGATCATTCTCTGGAACATGGCGAAAAGGGTGTGGTATTTTTTGTTTTTATTCAACTATGCAAAAACAACAGAAAATATTATTAGAGACTGGAAAGATGGTTTCGTCGTAGTTGCAGTTGTCCGTGACAAAATTTCGCCAAAACAGTTTCGTCGCTATCACATCACCTGACCACCGGCTGGGCCGAACTCGCCGATGCTCTCCGATTACGTAACAGAGCATGTCTTGCGCATTCTATGGAATTCGAGGTGAGAGAAAGGAAGATACAGCCATGTCATTATCATTCATTCATTCATTATTAAATTGTACCTAACAACAACAACCCATGGGTGATACATTATATTAAATACTCGCGGGAACGGCATCTATGTTCTGCTTCATCTGATCCATCGCCTCCTCAATATCGGCCATGAGCTCAGACGCCCGGGAATTCCCATAGATCTTCGAGTCTGCAAATACAGTAATCGATGCGATCCTGTCGTCGATCGTGTTCTTGCCAGACTTCATCTCCCCGGGTGGACTTGATGGAGGCGTTCCTTGGACCGCCGGGGAAGGTTCTGTTGTCATGGCCTGAGAGAGGAGTGCTGCGGCAAAATGCTCCAGCAGCTTCTGCTGAATACGACTGCGACGGTTTTCAGCGGCTTCTAACTTTACGAGCCAGTCGTCGATGGCCGAGTTGAGATCCAAGAGAGCCTGTTCCTGTTTGAGCAGAGTATCTTTGGTGGCTGACAGACGAGGAGACTTGAGGAGGCCTATCATCCGCCCGTGTAGATGCTGCCGTCCTTCGCGGAGATGCTCGTATGTGGTACGTAGGTAATCACAGCGTTCCTCCATCAGCTGTAGCTCCTGTAAAAAAAAAAAGAAGTGTTAGTAAGGTATTCCGACTTATGTGTAGAGAGTAACGAGGGCAGCAGTGGGACTTACTCGGGAGAGCTCGCTAACGTCACTGCACTTGAGCACCTGGAACGTACGCGCCTGCTTCTTTGCTTGCTCGTATATTGTATCCATCTCTGTCGGCGCCATGACGGCGGCGGCGTGAGACGGCACGTAGCCCGCTGGAAGTGTGGCAGAAGCAACCGTGGTCGCGCTCGAGCAGGACGTTCTTGGTGAGATAGAGTCGAGTTGGCTACCATTGTTCTCGTGGGAGAACTGATCACTCTCCTCGAAATAACTGATGACAGAATCCACATCCGATGCACTATCGTCATCATAATAAGGAAACACTGTGCCGTCCGCCTTTGACGTCTGAGCCGCCAGTCCACTGTCAGATGATTGAGGCATTTTCTTGGGCAAATCACCTTCAGGACGCCTCTCCGGTCGAGGAGGAACCGGCTTGGAGGGCGGGTTATGGTGTCGAGAGGCAGCCACCGGCCTCTCTGGACTTGAGGGGGGTTGGTACCGAGAGGCAGGTAGCATTTGGGGCAACCGCGCAGTCATGTCACTTGTCCGTGGGGACTTCGGAGGTACTTCGGGTGTAATCTCGTCCTTGATCCTTAAGCGAAGGGAATCGCTCCTGACCGGTATATTGATGCAGTTAGTGATAGGCTTTGTCGGGGGGTTGTCGTAACTCCTGATCAGTTGTGCATCATATTTCATGTTCGCCGGCGTGGGGACTGGCTTCCGATTGATCTTGTTGGCGACGGGTTGAGTTCTGGATGCTTCCGGAGCGCTGAGGGATCTCTCATGCACAACGGGGGACATGCCAGGAATTGTAGCTGGGGGCTTTTGTCAGTTCGTCCTTGAAATGGTAGCAAATGAGCGAAGAGATCGTACGAGAGTCCATGTAGTCTTCCTGAACCGTTGCCATTGGTGCAACGGCAGATCCGATCCGCAGCTGTTGAGGCAACAAACTAGACCCTTTCGGTTTCCCAGCTGGTAGGAAAGTCCTGGCGTCCTGGGATCCCGAACTCGACTGACAGGGTCTCTTATCCCGAGACATTCCCATTCTGGGGGACTTCATGTCTAAGGAAGGGAGGACCTTCTTCATGGTCGGCCAGATCTGATACCCCGGCCGTTCCGGGCTGGCACGGCCTTTGCTTTCGCTTCCATCGAAAAGCCTTTGCTCGGACTTTAATTGGTGTGTGTAAGTCTCATACTTTCCTCGATAGTATACTCCGCAGCCGTTATCATACCTTGATCATTGGCACCCGACACAGTGAACTGAATCACTTGATGGGATGTATTTGAAAGTATGAGGTGAGATTATATCGTTCTGTCAAAGAGAAAGACAGAACCAAGGAGCATAGAAGTGGTGTTGTCGAAGTTTCAGCTACAATGAGTGAGATCGAATCCGAAACAAAAAAGGAGGCAGACATCCTCCTTCATAAACTGGTGAAACAGCATTCACGGCAGACCAGATGTGCATTCTAACTGCCGTGCTGCCTCAACCCCGCCAAGACACAATCGAGCAGAACCAAATTGTTGAAGTCGTCTCAGGAAATCGATCCGATCCGATCAACTCAAACGTTGTGAATCTTGTCGGGGGGGGGGAGGGAAGGAATCGCACGCAGGATCGCCCGATTGGACACGACCATCATCTTCGGGTCTGGGAATCGCCCATTTTTGTCCCTACAGGTGTAAAAACGATCAAATTAGCAAGGAACAGAGATCGGCAATACCCCTCTATGCGGAAATCCCAATAACTAGTCAACGAGAAAGGTCTGGTACGCAGGGCAGTAGAGTTTCATCGGCTCCACGCTGAATCAGTCACACGAGTCAGAGAACAGTGGTTCAACCTTATTCTGAGGAAGATCGTCGATTCCTTTTTTTTAAACCAGAGACGAGGCACTTCAATCTTCATTATCGTCACAGGCGTCCATTATTGTGGTTGTTGTTCTTGTTGTTGTTCCTTTTTCGCAGTTGAGTGCAACGTCGAGCGAAAGTGTCGTAGGGGAGGTTTCCTCGGGGAGAGAAGAGCGTCGATCTGGGTCATCGCTGTTTCAGAAGCCCAATTTTTCCTCTCTGGGCCCGTATATATGGTGGTTTCAGCCTAAAAAGCTGGCACAGCTGACGGTGGACACGGGTGATATGGTAGTTAGTAGATACTGGTAGGTTACAGTTGATACCATAGCTGGATCTTCGGCTCTCAGTCTGACAGATGACTTGCGTAGCTACCATTCAACCATAGACAAAATCTACACTGTTTTGATTACGTCCAGTTCTGCCCGGTTGTTGATGAGAGAAGATTCAACCTTGAGATTTTTCTGCATGTGTAGAATGAAATCCGTCAGTTCTGCCTGCGAGGCGTTCATGCTTCGCCATCCAGTTCAGTCCAACTATGAGCTGTCACTTGAGCTACAGAGCTCTCCAAGTTTCGCCATAAAGCTTCTTTGAGGACATGACGATCTCTCCTGCTTATTTGAATTGTGGGGGATACCTTGTTTTAGGACTCTCCACCAGGAAGATCATCAGCTTCGAGGACAGCAGGTCCTAGGTACTCCGTAAATCGAGCGATTCATTTGTCCGGAATGCAAATCCGTGTCATTATTATTGGTTCGGTCTGGTTGAGGCAACAGAGTAGACCTACGGAATTACCTTACCATTCATGAGGCGTTGATTGGGAGAAGGTAAATCGTACCCCCCAAGGCAAGGCTCAAACGGCTGAAGTGTGTGTTTGTCCACGGCCCTTGACTGCCATCATGGCGTTGACAGCTCTGTCTCCGCCATGTGTAATGACAAAAATGTCACATTCACGATAAGCCTTGCTTCAGGTCTCCGCTCCGCTCCATAGCAGTATAGAGTGACATTGACGAGGTGAGAAAAAATGCGCCCCCGAGCTCTGTGTGATACGAGTGTAGTGAGTGCGAGAGGCGTGAAGCGAACACGAGCAGCCAAGTCCCAGACCCCAGGCGTCTTGACGATCCTGTATGTAGTATGTACATACTACGAAGTATGTACAGAGTGCTCCACTCTGGCGCCCAAGTCTGCAATAGTCACTATCTTCGCTATTAGAATCCATTATATCCACTCCCAGGGCGGAGCGCAATAATTCAACTTTTAAGCCTCAATCGGCTGCAGTTGGTCAAGGCAACACAATAATCCCGGGAGATCCCTTTGTAGTAGGAGTCGCGTAGGTACTAGGTCCTCCTGAAAAGTTTGCGAAAGCCACAGAAGAAACCCAGGGGTTTGCCATCATACTGCATAGTCTCGACCTGTCCGATTCCATCCTATCGGTTAGCTTGAATTCTCAGCTCTCCGCCGCGTGCGAGTAAACACTGGACAGCTACCCATCGTGGCGATCGCCGCCAGGAGGATGTGGGGGTCCACCAGGGGGTTGCGTCTCTGTGTGTGGCTTTGCCCTGGATACCTGTCCTGACTGGCTGCAGCTGAAGGGGAAGACTCGTCAAAAGACTAGCCAAGTGAATTGCCTTCCCAGTTGTTACCCCATTGTCCTCTGTGGAAACGCTGGCAGTGCAGCAGTCAAAGTGGCAGGGAAGAGGAAAACTGGCCTGCCTGGCACTGCGCCTCAACTTTCTTCTCTCAACGCAAACGGAGTAGTAGTATTAAAGGGCGTCTTTGTACCGATGAGAACGGACAGCAAAAATCAGGGGGAAATATCTGCAACAGACATAAATATTGAGGGCTTGTCGACTCCAGAATAAGTCTGGTTTCAACTGTTGTTTCCTGCTCTTCTGCTTCTCTTTTTTTCTGAAGACAAAAAGGTCACGGGGTCTAGACTCGGCGTGGCAATTCTCCTCCTTCTTACTAATCGTCCTTTTCCCCTCTTCGTTCTCTCTACAGAGTCCCAACCCAACGTTATCTGTCCATCTTTTTCACAACCTGTCATCGTCTTCAGCTGTCGAAAAGAAGAAGAAGAAGAAGAAGAAGAAAATAATAGCATTATGGATTCCGTCTCTCCGCCACGGTCATTTCCTTCGTCGCCCTCCTTCGAGGTCGCCCGCTCGGCACGATCCTCGCCTATCTCACGGCCAGCGCTCTCACTCGACCTGTCCAACCTGCCGGCTCTGTCGCAGCCGTCGCCGCCGTCCAACACGCTGCTGATCACGGACCTGCACGACCTGTACCTCTTCCAGCCGGCGTCGCTGGAGGCGATCCGCGCGCGCATCACCGCCGTCGCACCGCTCAACTCCTTCTCACCGCTGCCGTCCTTCCGCCGCATCGTCTGCTCGTTCCTGAGCGTCGACGACGCCGTCCGCATCCGCCAGCTGCTCGACGGCGAGGCCTTGCTCAACCGCGCAGTCCGCCCCCGCATCTACTTCGGCGAGTCTACCCCGCTGCTCGACCAGGCCGGCGGGCCTAAATTCCTCGAGGCGCCCCAGCTCGACAAACTCTTCTTCATCAGTCCCCCGCCCAGTCCGCCGCACGGTTGGGTCATGCGCAACGAAGAACCCCCCAACAAGGAGGTTCACGCGCATGACCTCGCATACGCCCTCTCCCAGCTCAAAACACATCACGATGATCTTGAAGAACAGCAACCCCAGCCCCAGCCCCAGCAGTCTACAGGGCCAGCTAGCGGATCATCGCACGCAGACCCCGCAACCCCGGTCTCCATCTCTTCCGATAAACGTACCCCGAGCTGGCCCGTCCCCCCTCGCCAGCGCAGCCGGAGCAGCACCCTCATCTACCACCCGGACAATCATGGCGGTAGCCCCAACCTCCCCGCCGTGATGGTCGAGGACACCAGTCTGGCTGTCGACGAGCTGGACTCGGACGTCGACATGTTGGCCAGCCCGGTCGAGCAAGTCTCGCTTCGGAAGCTTCCGCCCAAGACTTCCCGCCCGCCTGTCGAGCTGATGTAGTTTTTTTTTTTTTTTTTTTTTTTTTTTTTTTTTCCTTTTTTGTCATCTTTATTCTTAGCGGTTAGCGTGGGTATTCGGACGAGGCGTTTGGTGTTCCCACCGAGAGATAGATATAGATCAACTCATCCTTGGTAATAACTAGTGAAAAGAAAAAAAGTATACATATATATATATATGTTCACTGTTCTACTCCAGCCATAGCCATAGACAAGTAGAAAAAAAAAAGGTACTGGTTCAATCAAATAAAACCACCGCGCTCTCCTTGACCACCACTGGCCCCAACGTGGCCGCCAATTCCGCTACGATTCCCTTGACGGACTGCGGACTGCGCATCGACATTTCCTCCCACCGGACGAGATCCTAGCGAAGGGGATATTTAGAATTGTGTCTATATGTTGTCTGAGAAAATCGGGTTTCTTACATTCATATGGACGAAACTTCCATGGATCAAAAGAAGCCAGTGGCCTAGATCTACCGCTTTGACTTGCTCGACGGTCATCACGCCCGGCATGTGGAGGTCGAACAGGGACATGTCTTCCTCGTCCTGGTCGGCGGGAGCTGCCTCTGTCGTGGGGGCTGTGGAATCGCCGCCCTCCGACGCCTGTTGGCGATCATGTGACAGAGAGACGTAGGGGCGACGGTCGAGTTTCTCGCGGAGTTCACCATCAAGCGGGTCCCAGGTGTAACTCTCGGGGTCTGGCTGTATCTCAGCATACTGCCATGTATCTTAAAAAAAAAAAAAAAAAAAAAAAAAAAAAGAAGAGATCTTTACCCAAAATATACTGTGGTCGATAGTCGGCTTTGTAACGCATCTTTTGGCAAGAGTGAATGTAAAATCCTGATTGGATGATCGTTAGTTGGCTGTATCGGGTTATCTGATTCATCCACGTACCCATGTAATAGTACTGGTAGGAGCCCTCGATTGCAAAGGCAATCTCCCGCATGGCACTCAGCTTTCCAAATTCCCACTGCTCGTAGTCCGGGTCGTAGCTGGGGTGGTCAGGGTGCAACTGAGACAAAGTACAAGACGAAGACTGCTTACAAGATATACACGGAGCTGACCCCATTCGGCATCAGGTCCAAGACCGCCACGGCAATGAGCTTCCCGTCCAGTCGGTAGCACTGATGCCAGGACCCAAGCTTCTTTTCCGTCGAATCTGCACTGGCGGGAGATCGTTTGATACCAGTACATAGGAATCGTTCAAAATCCTTGGTCTTCCATTTGGAAACATCCTCCTTGTGGACTTTAGTCTGATATTTGACGAAAAGATCGAACCTGGATGCCCGTCAGTCATTTCCGAGGTGCCCCGGCAGAAGACGATTAGCAGTCGTTCGCTCTCACGTACTTGGCTTGTGAGATGGAATCGCCTTCGATGTTGACTTCGAACCGATGCGCCGGCTCCAGCGGCCGTTTGGTCTTAGGATCAACGGGCCGCTGGATATTACCGTATTCCACCTCGTGAACGGCAGACAGGAGATCAAACTTTGTCTTCCGACGCTTCTTCTCTCTGCAAAAAAAAAAGTAAAAAAAAACCAACGTCAGTGGTCAAATCCCCATGTTTCTAGACGAATCACCTTCCATCACTTACTCTCGCGTGCGAGGACATAACCGTGCCGCTTTGCGGATATACTCTGGACCCAGGACAAACTTGGTCCACCGGTTCACGGCCTTACGATGGTCTCTCCTGGGCCGGAATGTCGAGACGTCCAGTCTATACAGGCAACCGGGGCCAAGATCAGCTTCTCGATCCGTCCGTGATCCGTCCGTCCTCCTTTCATCGGAGGGAAGCGGGGGGGAGGGGGAAGGAAGGTGGCGAACGGGACGTACCTCAACGTATAGTAGGGACAACATGACCGCTGTAGGTTCTGCTTGTAATACAGCGTTCCCGATCTGCGCCCGTGGAGTCAGTCGGTCAGTGTTCGGAGCCGGAGAACACGGCTTTGTTTTTGCGCATCTGGAACTATGTTTCAGGGTTGCTGCTCACCTGCGCCAACCGCGATTGACGAGATCCTCATAGTGAGCCGGCTGTACGACTAGCGAGCTGGCATAGTAGGCAGCAGCTAGTGCATTGGTTCCATCAGTAGGGGGCCTGGTACCTAAGTAGGTGGGGGGGGGGTAGGAGGGGGAAACCCGTGGCCGTGGCCGTGGCGGGCAACAGAAGAGAACAAAGACTAGGTACTACTAACTGCCGGTCTGGGACTTGCAATAACCACAAGTGTTCCGTTGATAGCCTGGGATGAGCGAAGCCGTATGTCAGCGTTGTTAGTCACAACCAGGGAGAAAAATCCTTAATCCAGCAGTTCCTGGGCAAAAACAAGCACTTCATCGCGGAGGGCAGCCAGCGGCCAGTGCTGGCGGCACGGGGGACCAGACGCGGATGTGAGTGGCTGCGTACCTAGAGGTCGGAAGAGGGACAGTTTCCTGGCGGTCTCCGCGTCGATGACGGGCTCGGCGCGCTGGTCGGAGGCCATGGAGTGGTATACTGGGGGTTAACACGAGCGAAGGGGATAATATTAATAATAGTTGAAGATAAAAAAAAAGGGGGGGGGGGAGAGGGTTGTGGAGGAGGGGAGAAACTGGAAAGGAAAAGCCGTTGTTGATGGGGCGGGTGTTGACTGAGTCTGTCACGGGAGTTTGCTGGTACGGACTCTACGGAGTATTGATACCTAAGCAGTCGGCAGTAGTTGATAGAAGTCACCTAGTAACTAGTTACCTAGGTAGTTAACTACAGGTACTAACTACTGCCAGAGTTAAACGGTTGCCTGCTATCAGAGTCTTCTAGAACAGCACCAGGCTCGCATCCCATGTCTTGAAATGCATACTAACTAGGTACAATAGAGTCCTGAAGACTGATCCAGTAGTCAAAAGATGCGAATCGCTCAAGATGATAGATTAGATAGCTGGTAGTTAATAGTACATAGTAAATATTGCCCTAGTTATTTAGACTCACGTACGATCCACGATGCTCTTCCAACAGGGCTGGCTGCCTCTTTGACCTAGGAATATCCCATGACAGCGGGTATAAGAGCTGTTGCGTGTCGTCCCCGCGTCCAATCACTGTGCCAAGTCGCTGTGCGCAGCTCAGACGTCCAAGCTTATGCTCCACGGTTCTTTACTACGGAGTACGGAGGAGTTATTCCACGATGACATCTGGGAGTAACAATTAGATATAAGATCTCCTAGGTAGTTATGTACCTATGTACCTACCTAAGTACCTAGTATACTCTGTAATCCGTACACGGTACTCGACAACCACTTAGATAACCAGCAGAGCTTACTCAATAACTATCAGTACATACATAACTAGTTATAGGTAGGTACTAGGTACCTAGGTACGGTATACCTACTACTACCTACCTACTAAGGTAGTAAACTATGACGCTTCTACAGAGTTTAGGTAATTCTGGGTGCGTGTGCCCCGCACCCGTTCTGATCGCTGTTGATATGCATATGTAGGATGTAATAATAATAATAATAATAATAATAATAATAATAATAATAATAATAATAATAGGAAGTTCGGTACTTCTCACCTGCCTAGTAAAAGACTCGACGCAAGGCCCCAGCAGAGCCCGTGCATCGGACCATTGACCGTCAAGGAATCGAGCATGCCGACCTCTGCTTGTTCCTGCCCGGCGAATCACCCCCTGGGATCCGCCCGACTAAGTAAGTGCGTGCGTGAGGGTCCAGCCTGAGATCTGAGGACACGACAGAGTAATAGGCTAACTACTACCTAGGTAACTTAGGTAGGTATACCTAGGTGATTAATACTAGTACTACCTAGTAGTTACCTAGGTACACTCAGTAACCTTACCTAACCCTAGACGAGTACGGAGTACCTGTCAGTGTCCATTAGCTACGTGTAGACGATGAATAATCAATCAAACCAATGATAACGGTGATGATCCATAAGTTTGGAATATTACGGCTGTTCTGGTTCTGTACTGCGTACTGACTGGTGAACCCAGTGGGACGTTATTCGCTTCGGGGCCGATTTTCTCTTTCGGCTCACCTGCAGACGACAGCAGGTATAGGTACCTAGGTAGAGGCACAACCAATTAATACTATACTGGGAACTAGGTGGTAAAAATCTTAAGTATGAGTACGGAGTACGGAGTACTTATCATTGCTATCATGTTTAATTAGAGAGATATTTTACTGCTCCATATACTCTATCTAGGTTAGGTATACTCCGTACTCCGTACTCCGTACTCTGTCCTCTGTACTGTACTTGACGATCGTTGCACTACCGCATACGTCAAGCGTACGGCTAGTGAAATGATGCTGAATGGAGATCAGATCATGATGTGCCCTGAACCCTGATTCCGGGGTCTCCTGTCAGGCTTCAGCGCTTGAGGCGGATACAATGGTTATAGTCCTCTATGTATCGCAGAATCATGACCGTAGAATTTCATAGTAATCCAACTAATTCTGATAGTAGGTACCTAATGATTAATGTAATGATTAATCTGTTGAGGGCTGTCTGTGGGTAAGGTCCAACTCGGCTGGTAGGGTTCCAGTGGGTAATGGATACCTGGGTATGGTTAGTAGTTACGAGGCCCAGGGACAGCACTGAGCAGTGGACAGTGAACAGTGAGCAGTGAGCAGTGAGCACTGAGAGTCTCCTGGCACAGTAGGCTTTAGGCACCCTCTCCGACCGCGGGTTTCGAGGACCGTCGGTCTGGTAAACCCAGCACGATCCGTCCGACCAAAATGGCCAATAGTGTATTATATTATTATAATAATATAACTACTATTGGCATAATAATATAATATAATAATAGTAGTAATAATTATTATCAAGAGGCAAATAATCTGTGTGTTGCTTGGTTACCAGTACGGAGTACCTGTATTCAGGTAGTATGGTAGGTACCAGTACGTACCATCCGTCTGTACTGTCCCGTACAACGCCCCAACTTTACTGCGCAATCCCCGGGCTCGACAAGGCCAGGTTCGCGTACTCCGGCCGTCAGCGAAAATTACCGAGCCTGGCGGTGGCGTACCCAGGAGGTACCGGGGCAAGACACTGACGCTGGTCGCTCACCCAAAGTCCGCTCCGAGCAAGTGTTTCCTGCCGGACCGCAGTTACTAACTAACTATACCAAGCTGCTCTGATCTACCCCCCCCCCCCCCCCCCCCCCCCCCCCATTCCCGCTTCTTTCCTCTTCATCTACCCTCCTCTCGCTATATTCCTCCCTTGATTACGATGCCTCTCTCTATCTCTTCGTCACCTTCGAGGTTCCCGTCCGCTACGGGAGTGAATGAGCACACTTGATACCCCAGTATCCTTTCTTCATTCCGCTGCTGTCTCGCTCTAAATCGGCCGCCCAAAAAATTTCCTGGACCGTTGTCGACCGCCTCGTGCTCCCCCGCTACGTGCTCAATCTCCCTCCAAGAGCTTCCGGGCCTACTCCCGGCCATCAGGGAACTCGCGGGCGAACTGTTGCGATCAAAAATCTCCGACGGGCTCTTTTTTTTTAATCCCTGTCGTCACTCGGTGTGGTCGAGTAGTTGAACACTGAATCTATCCTTCGCGAATCTTTTCCTCCTTCCTCTCTTTTTTTTTTCCCTTCGATCCGAAACAGTCCTCTTGCTCCTGATTACTCATTCCTTTGATTTGCACTCAAATCAGTATACTATATCTATCTACATCGATATATTATATATAATCCCGCCGTGCAAAGATGATGGCCCAAGTTCGCTCCATGGAGTCCCGCGTAGGGCGGAAGAACCAACGTGAGTCAGCGCCATGCTCCGCTCTTCAATCCATTGTTCGGATTGCTAACCATGATTTCTCCTAGGTTACGGATCGAAAGGTGAAAGGCTCGTGGCCGGTGTCGTCCCCTTATCGGCCGACAAGACAAAGGTTCTGATGATCCAGTCCGCCGGGCCGGGAGGCTGGGTCCTCCCGAAAGGCGGGTGGGAGACGGACGAACAAACTGCCCAGCAGGCCGCTTGCAGAGAGGCCTGGGAGGAGGCCGGCGTCATCTGCACCGTGCAGAAAGACCTGGGCCTCATCCCTGACATGCGCCCTTCCGCGCTGCTGAGCACGCAAGCCCCCAAGGCATCCTATCAGTTCTTCGAGGCCATCGTCGACCGCGAAGAGGCCCAGTGGCCCGAGATGCACAAGCGAAAACGGCAATGGGTCACCTATGCCCAGGCCGCATCATGCCTCATCAACCGCCCAGAACTCCTCGAGGCGCTCAATCGCAGCTCGTTGAAGCGGTAGCAGTCATCGACCTGGCCCTTTTTACGACTCGATACGACCTTTCACCCCTTAATTCTTTTTTCCTTTTTTTTTCCCCCCCCTTCAAAAAAATATATCATAAAAATTCGACATCGCTTTTGCATTCTCTGGGCTTCATTTTTCTCCACCCTTACATTTTTGGTCTCTTTTTTTTTGCATTGCATGGTCGTGATACTACTTTTTGGTGTGGGGAGGGGATTTTTTTTTCATTTAATATCCCTTGTTGCTGCTGCCTTGTGTGTCTCTACAGATTCAGCTTCCCCCTTCCCTCACTGTTCGACCTGTTTTGACAGGCCGAATTCCTCGGAGCATGCTCTCGCCATAGAGACGATGAAGTCCATCCGAAGATAGAGACTTAGAAAGGTGTCATTGCTAGTTCCATCTTTTTGCTGTTGCGCAGCTGGATGGAGCCTTTCCAGATCCATAATGCCACACAATAGGCATTCGAGCAGGCAAAACGAGTGATCATTGCAGTCATGGAGAGGTCTTTTGATCGTTTGAAGAAATCAACGCGTCTGGAAACCAGACCAGGTGGTTGTTTTGTGTTACCTCAAAAAAACAGATTCGCGGTGGCTTTATGACATTGTGCCCTTTAGAAGGCTTTTAATGCTTTGGGGGGGGGGGGG